GGAATTTCTCACCCTGGTGCAGTGCTTGCTTGTCAGGGCAGGCAGGCCTTATGCAGCTGAGGCAATCCAATTGTAGGCTGAAAGTTGCTCAGAATATTTTGATATTACGATTATACAAAAAAGGGAGGTCATAACATAAGTTAGCATGGAAAGTCTGATCTTTCAGAGCTTTTCCCGAGCTACCCGGAATCTGTCAGACGATAGCCGTCGCATAGCTTGTGTCACCAGGCGGCCCGCACGTGCCCTGAGCTCATATTCGGAGGTCCTGGGTGGTTGTGACTTTGGGGGGCGCTCAGGTGGGGGCAGCCCACCTGTCCTGCCCCCGCCCTGCTGCCAACTTCGCAGCGAGGTGGCAGCCAGGCCTGGTCTGGTGGTGGCATCTGGCGCAGGACAAGTGCTGTGCACGGGTGGGAGGGCGTGATCAGTGGGCGCACTGCCCCCACCCCACCCCCACACAGGCTCTGCTCCTTGCCCAACTCTGTCCCCACCGGACCCCGCCCTGCCCCTCCCCTGTGCCTGCCCACACCTGGCTCCTCCCCCACGCCCAGCTCCTCCCCCGCGCCCGGCCCCGCCCCACGCCCGGCTCCTCCCCCACACCCGGCCCCGCCCCCACAGGGCCCCGCGTGGTGTTCAGTGAGGCCCTTGGCTGTGCACTACCCGGCCCTGGCCGGCCCATGGGGCAGCTGGCACGTGGCCTGCCTTCCCTCTGGTCTCCAGCCTCACTGGCGGTCCCCTGGCGCATGGCCTTGGGCAGTGCCTCGCCTCAGCCTCCTCGCTGAGAAGCCAGCGGGGTGTGCTGCGGCCAGTGACCCCCCAGGACAGGCACTTGGCGCCGGGGTGTCCCAGCTGCCGGGCAGGAAGTGAGGAAGGGGTGCTTGGTGTCTGCCTCCCCTGTCGGTGGGAGCCCAGACACCAGGGCTGCAGATGGGGTGCGCGGTGCACCTGCTGGGGTCAGGGGCTGGGTGCCAGGAGCCTCCGGGGGTCCTGCGGGCCGTGGGGATCACCTTGAGGTCGGCCGTGTCTTTACAGGGGGCGCAGGGAGGAGGGGTCAGAGTGCCGGGCAGGGTCGGGAGCGGTCAGCCTGGCCCGCGGAGGAGGCCCCCTTCTGCCCGCGGCTCTCTGACCCCCCTTCCCCAGGAAGGCGGGGGCTGCTCCCCGCTGCGCGCGAGCGGATCCTCAGCGTGGGGACCTCTGGCCGGCGGGGGAACCGGTGTCTGGGACCCCAGCCCCGGCCGCCCTCCGGCTGACCGCCCCGCCCCCCAGGTGATGGATGAGGTCTTCAACTTCCTGCTGGTGTGGTATTACTGCACCATTCGCAAGAGCGTCCTCATCAGCAACAGCTCCAGGTGAGCGGCCAGCGCCTGGGGGGGCGCCCCGCCCCTGGCTCCGGGACAGACGGGGGCGGGGGGCCGAGGGCGCACGCTGGCAGGCAGGTCCCCCCTCCGCCCAGGCACTGGGGTGCCACCCCGCTGAGCTCCGCGTCCACGAGGGCTCCAGGAGACCCTCGTGGTCCTGATGGCTTCCTGGGAGGCCTGCGGTGGCGGAGGGGGCTGGGGGCGGAGTCCGCACCCACCACTGGCGCCTCGGGCTGCAGGGAGGGTGGCGCCTGCAGGGAGGGTGGCGCTGCGCAGAGTTTGGGGGGGCTGCTGGGCTGTCCGGCCAGGGACGGGGTGGCCCCCAATGGGCAGACGCAGGGACTTAGGTCCTCGGCGGGCTCCCCTGAGCCTCTCCTGTACTGCACGCGGGTCGGGGGTCCCTCCCTGTCTGACCTCCGGGTACCCCATCCTGGGCACCAGCCCTGGCCTCGCGCTGCTGGGCCCGGGGAGCCCCGGCCACCAGCTCAGCCCCCAGGGGCCGGGGCGCTGCAGCCAGGGGAGGGTGGGCTGTGGGGGCTGCGCTCTGGGGAGCAGGGTGGGCTCCTGCCCCCGCGCCCCTTCCCTGGAAGGCCGAGGGGACACCTGAGCTGTGTCTGCTCTGCTCTCTCCGAGAATTAAGGCTGGTGGGTGTTGCATCACTACGTGTCCACATTCCTGTCTGGTGTGATGCTGACCTGGTGAGTGTCCTGCCCACCGGGAGGGGCTGGGCTGCGCATCGGGTCGCCCGCGGCTGGGCAGCCTTGACGGGGACACGCACCGAGGCTGTCAGGCGGGACCCGATTGTGCTGGGGACGGCCCCCAGGCCCCGTGCGGACTCAGCTGAGTGGACCTGCCGGGCCGCTGCGGGGACACTGCTGCCTGCTGGGCAGGGCAGGCGGCAAGGAGGCCCTGCCCAGCTCCTGCTTCCCCACAGGCCGAACAGGCTCATCTACCAGAAGTTTCGCATCCAGTTCTTTGCCTTCTCCATCTTTCAGAGTGAGTCTGAGGCCCTGCGGCCTGCGTCAGCCCCAGGGGCGGGCGGCCAGTGCGCGACCCCCACACTGTGCGCCCTTGCGGGTTCTAGCCTGGAGGCTCCGCCCCGCCTGGCCCGTGCGAGGCCGCCTCCGGTGCTGGGCAGCAGGTCAGCCCCGGGAGCGCTGCCCTCTTAGCGAGCGAGCGCAGCCTAGCGGCACCTGGACACTGCTGACATATGCGGCTACGCCCAGGGCGAGGGGCGCCCGCCGTGGGGGCCCCAGGTTTCCATGTGCTCTCCAGCCTGCTGAGAGCTGGGTCCCCAGTGGGGCCCGCCCCCTTCTCTTGGAGACCCTGTTCCCGTTTCAATCTATCGTCCTTTGAGACAACTTCCAGCACCGGGCCGGCCCCACCTCCTCGCATCCAGTGGCTGCAGCTAGCAGCACCTCGTGTCTGGCTGGCCGGCGGGTGGCTGGCTGTGTGCCCCGTGGAGACGGGCGGGCGGGCGGGCCGGCGGAGGTCGCAGCGGGCTGTCCCGCAAGCTGTGTCCAGTTCCTGCAGTACCACTACCAGAGGGGCTGCCTGTACCGGCTGTGGGCCCTGGGCGAGCGGAGCCGCCTGGACCTCATCGTGGGTGAGTCTGGCCGGGCGCCCGCGGGGTGGGCTCTCCGGAGGCCCCTCAACAGTCTGCCTTGGGCTTCGGGCCAGCTGTGAGGTAGGGCCTGCCTTCTGGGAAGGCCGTGCCCTGGTGAGCCACAGCCTCACCTGCCGCTCCCTGCAGAGGGCTTCCAGTCCTGGATGTGGCGCGGCCTCACCTTCCTGCTGCCCTTCCTGTTCTGTGGCCACGTGAGTCCGGGCCCTGGTCTGGGGGGCCCCGGCCGGTGGGGGGCTGAGCGGCCCTTCCCTGGACCCCCAGGGCCAGCCGCCTTGCCGGGGCTCGGGGTGCCGGGCCAGGGCCGGGCGCTGACCGGCTGCCCCCTGCAGTTCTGGCAGCTGTATAACGCCGTCACGCTGTTCGAGCTGTCCAGCCACGAGGAGTGCCGGGAGTGGCAGGTAAGGGCCCTGGAGCCCTGCGGCCCAGAGCGCAGCCTGGGGGATGGTCAGCGAGAACCGGGATCCAGGGAACCCCCCAGCGAATACTGGGCTGTCGGCCCCTCGGCACCTGCCGGGTGCTGGGGGCGGAGGGTCTGGCTGGGGCGCAGCCTGACTGCCGCCCCGCCTCTGCCCTGCACGCCCACCAGGTGTTCGTGCTGGCCCTCACCTTCCTCGTCCTGTTCCTCGGCAACTTCCTGACCACCCTCAAAGTCGTGCACACCAAGCTGCGGAGGAACAGGGGTGTGCCCCAGGCGCCCTGAGCCTGCGCCCCCCCGCAGGGCCATGGGCCTGGCTTCCGCGCCTGCCCTGCCCTGCCCGCCCACCGGCGACCCTGGCTGGCCAGCCCAGGAGCACGTCCCGGTGTGGAGGACTGACCCCAGCCTATGAGCCAAGCGCTGGCCAGCCGCCGCTATGACTTAGTTATCACCCAGCCCACGCCCCGTTGCTCTGGCACTGCCCAGGCCAGCTTCCTGGGGGGCTGCAGCTCTGGGGGCCCAGTATCCCACGCCCCCACCTGACAGCTCAGACCAGCTCCATGTGCCTCTTGGAGCGGGACTGACCTGACCTGCTGCCCAGAGCCCTGCCGGCCCAGCAGCCTGGAGCCTCCCTCCCGTTTGCCCGCCTCTGCAGCCGCCTGCTGACCGCTCCAGGGGACCCCCGCCCTGTGCCTTGAGCACTCTGTCGGGGAGGGGGGAGCAGGCGCCCCAACACTCACTGGCTGGGGGGGGCTTCTGCCGGCCGCCACCAGGGGGCGCCCGGGCCTCCCTGAAGCCCACCCTCGCTGGCCCCCTGCGCCCTGACAGCCCTCAGAGAGCGGACCCAGCCGGTGCCTGCTTGGGCTGAGGCGTCTCCCCAGGCTAGGGCCGGCCCCGGGGCGACCTCCCGCGGGGCTTCTGCCGGCTGCTGTGCGCTCGTGCTTTGGCCCTTTATGGGGATTAAAATCTTCAAACTGCATTGGAAAAAGCGGCCTCCCCGGTGTACGCATCCATGCCACCACCCGGTCCCCCCCCCCAGGCTAGAAGGGGGGCCAAGCCCCGGCTGCGCCTTCCTGCTCCACGTGCTCTTCACCGGGTGGCCGGGGCCAGACGGAAGCCCGCGAGGGCTGGACACCAGCCGGCCCCAGCCTGCGCCCTCCACGGACCAGCTAGGCCAGGGACACTGCGGGGCTGTTTGGTGACTTTATTTACCCAGGCGGGCAGCGAGGGGCTGCAAGGGTGCAGCCCAGCCGAGAGGGCCCACGCCTGGTCCGGCCTCCCGCTGGGGTGGGGCTTCCAAGCTGGGTCGAGGGGCGGGGCCTGCCCGGCCTCCAGAGGTGCAGGGGCCAGAGCTGGGCCCTCAGGCCGAGCCCCTGGCCCCAGCCCCTTCCCGGGGTGAGGCGCGTCGCTGGTGCCCAAGGACCAGACCATCCCTCTGCAGGTCCCAGCCGGCTCTGGCCGCTGTGGGGTCAGGAGTCGCGTGGCCGGCAGGCGCCTGTGCCGCCCGATAGCCGCAGCCCCCGCCGCGCGCGGGGCAGGAAGCGGGCACAGTGGCCGTGCTATCTCTGCCGGCCAGGCGGGGTGCCTGGCTTGGCCCTCCCAGGGCCCCCCTGGGAGGCAGAGGGCGGGCGGCGGGGGTGGGGCCGGCCCCGAGGTCAGTTCAGGCCACCGGCGGGACGAGGTCCAGCGTGGTCAGCGTGGTCCGCGTCGCTCTGGGCCTGGACGCCGCCAGCCGGTCAGAGCAGCGCGCACTGCCGCTGCCGGCGCCGCCGCGTCCGCGTCCTGTGGAGCGCGCCCAGGCCCACGCGCGCGACCTCGCGGAACACATCCTCCACGTTCTCGCGGAGCCGCGCCGAGCACTCGAGGTACAGCACGGCGCTGATGCTCTCTCGGGCGCTGTGGCCCTGCGGGCGGCAGGTGGCACTGGGCTGACCCCGCGTCGCGCCCGTGGGCCCCGACAAGCCCCCACCCTGTACGCGCCCCGTCCCGGAAGCAGCGGCCTTGAGGGGGCCCACTCTTGGCTCTCGCCTCCCAGCAACCCGGTCCGCGGCGGCAGCCCACCTGCGCGGGGGTGACTGGCTGCAGCCGCGCGGCCTGCAGCCTGCGCAGCTGCTCCGCGTCGGTGCGCAGGTCCGTCTTGCAGCCGATGAGCACCACGGGGGCCCCTCTGCAGAAGTGCGCAACCTCGGGGAACCACTGTGGGGGCCTCGTCAGGCTGGGCCAGCTCCCCCGCCCCTTCCCCCCATCCCCGCGGGAGCGTCACCTTGACCAGGACGTTGTCATAGCTGGTGGGGTTCGTGACGTCATAGCAGATGAGGACCAGCTGGGCGCCCTGGTAGGACAGGGGCCGCAGCCGGTCGTAGTCCTCCTGCCCTGCGGAGAGTGGCGGTCAGCAGCGTCGGGACAGCGTCCAGCCCCTGACCCCCCAATCCTTGCCCCCCCACCCCACAGGCACCCGAGGGACTTGGGGTTCCAGGGCCTCTCCCAGGAGCTGCAGGCCAGAAGGGGACCGGCAGGGCGGCTGGCATGGCTCTAGCCCATGGGCCAGGGTCCGCGTTGCCCTCTGGTGCGGGAGTTCGCTGCCCCCAGAAGCAGCCCGGCAGGGCCTGACCCCGGCTGGTGCCCTCGGCCGCACGGTGACCCTGGGCTTCTCTGCCCGACCAGGAGACTTCCAGCATGGCGGGGGCCCCCGCCCCTCCCCGCCGGGTGAGGTCCTCCCTGCCCCAGGATGCTGGCCCAGCCCCCCTCCCCACGCCTGCTCCCCACATGCCAGGCACCCCAGCGAGGGTGCCCCGCTCACCGGACACCACCCGCCACTGCCCCTCCTGCGGCCTCTGGGCGCGGAGCTGAGTGGGCGAGGGGAGGCACAGCGGCCCCCGGGGCCCGTGTCCTCTAGGACCCTGCTGTCCGCAGGCAGCCGCTGGACCCGCAGGCTGTGTAGTCAGGTCCGGGCCTCCCTGGGGCGCAGGGGTGAGTCTCCGTGGCCTGGCCAGGCAGGGACCCGGGCTGCGGACCCCGTCGCCCCACGGCCCCTCGGCCATGAGTCAGGGCCGCCTGTGTGTGCCTCCCGTCTGAGGTCCGCACCCCGCCCCTCTGGCCTGAGCCCCGTCTGTGCACAGTCAGTCTGAGGAACCTCACGTGGTTTCTGCATGGCGCTGGCTGCGCGGCAGGACTCGGGGGACCAGTGCCGCCCCCTCCCGCAGGCTCTGGGCGCCGCTGCCCAAGCCTCCCGGGCCCTCGCTGCGGCCCCTGCTGCGCCTCTGCCAGGATGCGCCCCCAACCCCCCTCCTTCCTAGCGTTTTGTTTTATTTTTAAAAACGATGAATGTATGCACACAGGGTTGGGGTGCAGGCCAGAGGTGAGGGGTGAGGACCCCCCCAGACACGGGGGGAGCAACAGGTGGGGCCCCGAGACCCTGCTGAGGGGCAGCGGGGCCCCTCCCTGGCTGGGGCGCACTGGGCCTGGGTGACGGCCTGAGCTGCGCCCCTGAGGCGCCAGGGAGGCCTGGCCGCCGCCTCCCCGCCTGGCGCCTCCCTGCCAGCAGTCTCGAAACCGCCTAGCACGGCTGCCGGACCGGGATGGCCAGGCTTGGCCAGCGGTCCCGGGCCCCCTGGGGGCGTCCAGCCCAGGCTCAGGCTGAGCGGGGGTCTACACCCGCGTCTCTGCTGCTGTTGGGGCCTGGCAGGGCGGCGGGGGCCCCGGCTGCGCCCCTCCCCTGGCTGGGCAGCCCTGCGCCCCGGCTCCCGCCTCACACGGCCTGGCACAGGCGTCCCTGCGGCTGCAACCTGTCCAGCCTTGCGTTCAAGGAGACTGGGCGGCGAGCGAGCGGGTGCGGTCCTGCTGCCCAAACACCTCGTGGGCAGCAGGCCCTTGCCCGGGTGACCCGCCCCAGAGTGGGCGCCAGCCCGTCCTGCCCGAGGCCGGCCAGGCGCCGTCCTCCCAGGGAGCCCCGATAAGGGCGGCCAGGGTGAGTTGGCCACCGGCTGCCGCCACTGCCTGCAATCCGAGCGCCCCAAGGCCTGGCGGCCGCTCGCCAGGATCCAGGGCTGAGGGTGTGTCACGCAGAGCCAGGCCGTCAGCAGGACGGCGGGGACCCTCCCGGGCGCCCCGAGCACGGCCCCAGCCCCGAGCGGCAAGGACAACTCTGCCGAGACTGCGTTTCCCCGGCCCAGGGGACGGCCAGGCGGGGCCTGGGCTGGTGGCTGGTGCGCGTCGACCTGTGTCTCCCCTAGGCCTAGCATGCTGGACACTCCGTCGGCCACTCCTGTGCAACCAGTGACTGTGTGCAGGGGGCCGGGGGCTGCGTGGCCACTGCGGAGGCCGACGCCTCCAGGGCAGCGGTGCTGGGCCCCCGCCCCGGCCACTGGCGGGGCCACCCAGGCGGCTACCGCCCACTGTGGCCGGGGCCCCACCGGGCTGGGCTCAGGCTGGGAACAGGAGCCTCAGGGCAGCGGTCAAGGGGAGCGGGTCCTTCTGGGGTGCAGCCTGCCTGGGCAGACCCCTTGGGGGGGGTCTCTGAGGCCTGGCCCAGGACACAGGGTGCTTGGGGTCAGCTGGAGGGCAGGTGGCCCCGCTGCCCGGGGTGCAGGCGACCAAGAGCCCTCCGCCCCGCCGCCCACCTGTGCTCCCCCAGACCGCGGGGCTCTGGCTGAGAGGGCCCCCCCCCGCTGCCGGACCCCCAGGTCCCTCCTGGCACCCACACCTTCTGCACCCCATGCCTTGTCCCCCCTTTTCCTGTTGTTGCCACACGGGGCAGGGAGGGGCCCAGCAGCTGCACCCCCACACCGCCGCCCAGGAAGAGCAGCCGGCCGCAGCTTCCTGCCTGCACCCGCGGGGGGCCACCCGGTGCTGTCCCCCGCCCCCCTCTCCTCCGCCCCCACCCCGGCCCCTTCCCCCTTGCGCCCCCCGCCCCCGCCTCCGCCATCCCTTTCGCCCACCGCCGGCCTTTCCTGCCCCGGTCTGAGGTGCCCACCGCTGGCGTGGAGCTGCCATCACCCGCCCTGTCCCAGGCGTGTCCTGTTGCGGTGGGAAGGGCAGGCTGATGCCCAGGGCCCGGGGCTGTGTGGCTGATTGGACCACATGGCCACGCCGGCACTGGTCTGGGCCGGGGGCTTGACTGTTCCCAGCGGCAGCAGCCGGTGTGGCGGGGGGATGGACGCGGCCTGGCCACCGTGCCTACCCCACCTGGCCCTGCCCCCCGGCACTGTCGGGCAGAGGCTGCCGCCGCCGGTTGTGGGGAGACGCCCCTGACCCCTGCCGCGGCCCCACCCATGAGCGGGGTTAGTGACCGCCCCGCCGGGCCCCTGGCCGGGTCACGAACGGGGAGTCCCCAGAGGCGAGGCCCCGGCTGCCCCGCCGCGCCCTTGGGCACCAGGAGCCTCTGGCTGCCCCAGCTCTCGGTGGGGGCATCTGGACCCTCATCAAGAAGAGGGGTGCTTCAGAGGCCAGGCTGCAATGCCAGCCTGTCAGGTCGGGAGGGCCAGGGGCCGGGACTGACCCCGCCGAGGCCTGCTCGCCGGTCAGGGACCAGGGGAGGGGGCCGGGTGCCCGGCTGAGTCACAGAGGCGGGGTGCGCCGGCTCGGCTGAGGACCCTGACCTTTGCTCCCCAGTGTTGGCATGGCTCAGAGGGGAGCCAGGGCAGGACAGCGCTGCCGGGGCGGGCCTCCCCCCAAACCAGGGTGGCTCAAACCCCCCGCGGGCTGCCTACCCCGTGGGGGTGGCACTTGTGCCGGGGCGTCTCCCAGCCACCTGCTGGTGCACTCGGTGCCGCCCCACAGGCTGGACAGCGAGGGACCCACCACGCGCCTCCAGCCGGTGCCGGGCCCTGGAGCCGGGCTCCTCGCTGCAGAGCTAGGGCCCCGTGAGCACCCTGGACCCGCAGGCCCTGAACTGCAGCCCCAGAACCCTGGCCTGGTCCGCAGTGGGATCCCCTGCGCCCTTACTTCACGAGGGGTCTGCCTGCTGGCAGCACCCACTGGCCGGAGCCAGCTGAGGGATGGGGTGCCTGGGCCTGGGGTGCGGGCGGGGACGGCGGCAGACTGCACTCACCCGCGGTGTCGTAGAGGTTCAGGGTCACCTCCTGGCTGTCCACCATCACGCTGGCCGTGTACTTCTCGAACACGGTCGGGACATAGCGCTGCCGGGGGGCGGGTGGATTCCTGGGGGTGCGCGGCCAGGCAGCGACACACCCCACTCAGCCCAGCCCTCGCCACAGCCCTCCCCCACCCTCCGGCCTCGGGAAGCCCCAGGGGCGCCCCTGCGCAGGACGCCGGTGCGGGGCGTCGGGGCCCCAGCCCGCTCCCGCCGCACCTCGGGGAAGACGCCCTGGCTGTGGGCCATTAGCAGCGAGGTCTTGCCGCAGCCGCCGTCGCCCAC